CCATTACAAAGTGACGAAACATTGCGAATGCACCGTATTAATTCACACAAATGCATCAGAGTAAAGAGAACGGCCACTTACTATTAATAAAAATTGACGAGTCAATAAAAAGATGTAATCAAACCCAATATATCTATGAATACTGTGTGAACCATGAATAGGTGTTATAAAAGGCGAACCTCAAATTACGAGGCGATAGAAGAAAAGCGATTAGATGAGCTCACAAACAAAAGTAAATTGGCAGGCAGTAAGTAACAGATGTTTATTTTACCGTAAGGTGAAGTTGCGCATTTTTTAACATGGACAAGAGGGATAATAAGGACGCTACTGAACCTTACTATAAAATGATCAGTGACCAAATAGCCAAGTTATCAACAATATTGAACTGATGTTGAATAAAATTTTATTGTTTTCTTATGGTACCTTCCTATTATTTCGGAAATAACAGTAATTGCGAGAAGCCAGACTATCTGCACTTGCTTGCAGACCACGTATCACCACTGATACTTCCACGAATACGCAAAGAAATGAAAGAAGTATAGAAAAAAAAAGAAAACGTTTCGATTCTTCATATTCGCTAGGCTATACGGGTGCAGCCAATGCAGCTGCGTTCTCATACGACGAAGAAACACAGAGAGTGCATGCGTAACTACAACGGTAATCTCCTGGCGCACTTACGTATGCACACCACGGAAGCTTGCTATTGGAGCATGGATAAATATGACGGTAAGGCAATGTTCGTGCCTTGAGGGAAGATCGAGATGACCGTCGTGAACAGGCCAGAGAACCGACCGTGCTTTCAACTTTTGACTGCGGTTGAATGTTATTACCATAATGTTTTCGTTCGTTTTGTGTCTTTTTTTCGCCAATCCAATTTTTATCATGCAGTTCAACCTCTTGGTGACAAACAAGTGTTGTCATTGGTGGAATAATATGCATGTGTTTATAGACATTTCATATGACCACGCATGCTTATTTGAATTTTTTGAAGAAGCCCGATCACATAGGAGCAAAGAAGCAATGACGCGTGTTAATATTTAGATGAAAGCCGCCTTCGGAATCTTGCACACACGAGCCACATCTCAACTCTTTAAAACACAAACATAATAACACGCAGTGTTATACAACTTCAGCACTCGGTAAATGCTGGGTGTTTGAAAGGGATCCTTGGCAGTAAACGACTTAAAGGAAAGGCCATTGAACTCGGAAATCAGTTGCGGCGTGTTGCATTCTTTATAAGCCGACCAAAACGAATTCGCTGCTTCGTGCTGTGTGCAGAAGGATACATCGGGCCCCGCCCAAGCGAAACGTTCTTTTTTAGCTGCGGAGCCAATGTATTAACATCGACAACCCATTTGCTGCAGAAAACTGTGTCACGACACTGGCCAAAAACGAAAACTATTTATACCAGAGGTTTTACTGTAGCAAGGAGAGACTCTATCTATTTCAGCTTTCCGTGCCCTTAATGGTTTTACGATAAAGGGTGCCCATAAAAACGGCGACTTCAAGTAGATATATTGAATACGTAATGTATTGTCCGCAGTGCCGATTCTGGAAACGTGTCAGATGTGGTTTAACGGCCACTTCGAACGCTGGTAATTTCTATTGCTCGTAACGTTCGGCAAATCATTTCAGTTTGATCTCTCGTGAATATTTTATGAACCGTGGTCGAAACACAACTCAGAGTGAATTGTTATATGGCTTATATAAAAGTCATTTCAAAACGTGTTCGTGATGAACTGATTTATCGATAATATGTTTGAACAAAAAAAAAGCACTTAAACTCATGGCACTTAAAATTAGCCTAAAACAGGAACATGCAAAGTACCGGTTCCCGCGCAACTGGTTGGGAGTCCTCCAGGAAGAGTAAGCTTCACCACTGGGGCGACGGGTCACAGCCCGTCGAAGCCCGCCTGTACCCATTTTAGAAACCGGTGAGTGGCCGGTCGGCACTGGGCATTGAACCCCGCACCTCGCGTTGCTGAAGCGGACGCGCACGAGCAATCCCCCAGCTACGGTAACATGCAGAGGTAGGAAATGTTTAGTGGTAACCAGAGTGCGACTTGTGCAATCTTCAAGCAGTGCAATGTCTGTACGAAACCAGGATAAAGACTGTGGGACAGCGTGACAATATTTATAGGCCACCTGTTGCCATTTTCGTAGTCGTCTATCGTTTCCGGGTGAACGTTTCATCTTAGCACCGTTTGGTGTGCCGGAAAAATCACGCCACTTACTCGGAAGTAATCCCACATTGATTATTAGCAGTTGTGACCTATATTGCACGAAGTGTTATGAGAATTACTATTCCAACACCTCTGTAATTTTGTTCAATGTCAATGCAAATGCACGCTCTAAGTGATAATAAATGGAAAAGAAGAGAAAAGTATAAGTTTCCTCAAGCCAATGTTGCGAAAATACATTGTGGAATTTCTTGTGTCACGGGCGGCAATCATAACTCAGAATTTAAAAAGTAAAATTCCACATTCATTTTGTCCGCTAACAATGAGCCTATGACCTAGATAATTACGAGAGTCTTCTGAGTGCGGTTTATCAATCTAAAACAATTGTTTCTTGTTAGTGTCCCTTTAAGTAAACTTGTCGAACTGGCAGCCGTGTTCGTCCCGTGTTTCCTTGGTTTCGGCAATATCGAAAACAAATGATTTATTGCGGTGTTACAAATAGAAAAGTACAGGCGCAGGCCCTCCAAATGTCTGCACAAGCTATTGCACTATTGCTACAAAGTGTGAAGTATACTGCGGTACCTGTAAGACTAAAAGATGCATGCGGCAAACTCATCTTCTATCAAACTCCTTGGCACGACAGGATGCCAAAAAATAAAAAAATAAACGCAAATCAGAAGACCACTTCCTCGCTTTTCTTCTGCCCTGTCGCGCTGTTTCATAGAAGAATCCGCACCAGCTCGCCTAACTTTTCATGCAATAGATACTTGAAGTTTGAACCAAGGAGATTCTTTGGAACCTCTGGAGTGGCAGTCCCGGCCGCCGCCAACGGGAGCAAGTGAAGCCGCCGGCGGCCATATTGCTAAAAGAAAAACAGGGTGGAACCGTCATAGACCGCAATGAAATACGCGCGTTGCACGCGTTGGTTTGCAGTTCAACAATAAAAAAATGAGATGGAAACCACTTTTAGTTTACACCAACGAATAATTGCCTCTTCTTGTTTATGAAACAAATTATTTCATGTACCCATTGTCAGCTGCACGCTGTCAATTTGTTGTCGAGGGATGCTTCGCATATCGAGCTTGCTGGAGCACTATTGCGTGACAAAAGGGTTGTAGTATATATTGGGTGTTTTAAAAAAAATGTGCCTGCAGATACTCAAGATCAAGGGGAACACGACATTTGATCGCCTCTATCACATATGTGCTTGTGTGTGTGTGTCGGCATAATCCCAGAGAATATATAAGGAAGCTGAAATAATTAAAGCTGAAGTTAGAAAAGAGAGGATATTAAGTAAACTGGGAGTCACCAGTAATTTTTCTAGAGTTATCGAATTCTAACCAATTTAAAGGCGGAACCAAAACTGAAGCACCCATGTCGCGTGCAACCGACGAACTCCAGGAGACGTACCCCAAATGAACCATTTATAAGAACGATGGCAGTGGCGTTAGTTCTGCATATTATTTATCAACTTTGGTTGGCGACGTGTGTTGTCATGGCAAGCGCAGCCTTCAGAGCCTAGGAACGAGGTAGCTCGATGTTTGATATAACACCTCTCATTCACTTCGGCAACTTCGTCTATCGGCGTTTTGGTTTCGGTTCCGTCGGCAAGACGGAACGGATTTCAAAGGTGTCTCATCTTGTTTTAGACGCAATTGCTTATTTTCATGACTACATTCTATTGAATCTACGTAATGCAGGTAAAAACTAACAGGTTTTTGCAGATGCGCTCGGAAAGCAGGAAAAATAGAAGGTGCACTGCCAGGCCGCAAATCTGGTTGTCTGCCCCGTTCTGTCAAACAGCCTCTTTTGAAGTGAATGGAACTGAGGTATTCACCGTCCGTAGCCCTTCAACTACTTCTTCGAACAGTACGTTCCCAGGCAGAACGCAGCGCACTGTCTTTTGTAAACCTGTACCACGCATAATCACGGCATGGAATATTTTCTACGTTTGCGAATTCCTCGATAAACATTCAGCAAATTTGATATTCACTCGCCAAAAAAAAATATGCCTGCACGCCGTCAGTCTTGCCTTGTAAGACAACACCAGAAAACTTGGAAATTAAAGGGCATGCAGACGTCCTACTCGTTCCAATGTTTGATACGTGCAGCCATAGACCGCGAGTGCTTCGTTCATAAACTTAAAACTTGTTAACAATATTGTGTCAACGAGCATTTAAAGCTTAGAGTTACCTTCCATACAGCTATACGCATCTATTGCACGCATGCGCACCTTTCATAACAGCATGCGCGAAAAAACAGGCGGTCGTCAGGGAGCAAGCGAGAATACTTACACGTGAAAAGTGATCCCGGGCTTCTTCTTGATGCAATTTGTGCAGCCATAAGCGACGCACGAAGTCACAATGGCCTTGTAAAATCTATAACTGCTTTACAAAAGCATGTCACAGTCTCCAAAGGCCTCGGCGAGGGCGGAGCTACGAAGGGCACTTTGTTGTCTGCTTCCGAGTCTTTCCTTTTCCAATATGGCGGCGATCGGCGTCACTTATCGGGCCGAACCTCAACTCCAGAAGACATAGTATAGAACATCCTTGGTTTGACCTTAAAAGAGCACTTAGTCTCCGTGCTATATGCTATAACGCCATTGTGGAAAAAAGAACGCAACTTTTAGCATAACGCACTATTCGAAGTAAGCAGATGCCTTCCCAAAAGACTTCTCAAGTACGAAAGATATGAAAGGGAACATTCAAAATAGTACAACTTTTTGTTCGCCAAGTACTGAAAAACTGAAAACAATGAGACCTGCATTTGTCACAATACCTTTCAGGGAAAAAATGCAAAGATAAAGAAAGTACATGGTCGTAAGTTTGATAAGATACAATTTATTGAAAAAAATTTTTCCTGTATCACAACGAGAGATAAAGTCAGCTTCGACACCAGCGCCCTTCAATTCATAGAAGCGCATGTGGCATTAATGCAGCCAAGCGAACATTGTCTCTGTGGAATGTACACATACGCGACAACAACAATGGTAGGTTAGTGAGGTTCTAGCTAGATGAGTAACTAAACAGACACGCTGATGTGTCCATGGCACGATACACTCTTCCTCCACCTCACGGATGATGAGGCTAAATGCCAAAAATAGACGAAAGAGCTTTCATTGTACAAAAACGACAGCTCATAGATCTGCCATGATATATCTTTGGCAATTGACAATGGAGATTCGCGGTACGTCTTTCTTGGGAGCAGACTTTCAACGTGAACAACCACGCGTGAGGTCATGAGGTACATTCGATATTGTACAGTTTGATAACATCTAAACTCGGAAATGTTTTCGAACTACCTGAATGCCCAATATTGGCGAGTACCACACAGAGAAGAAGAAAAGAAACAATACCGTTAAAATGACAACAGTATCCTTCGGGGAATACCAAACTTAGACGTATTACTATAAGCTTATTTACTTTTCTAGTGCATCTGCTTAAGAATAATTCCAGAAATATAATAAATGTACTGATTAGGGGCCCGTAGGCCGTAATTATACTCAAGACGATACTTGTTCTGTACAAGTACAAAGATATGCAGCTGTGAAAACAATTTAAAGAGTAGGTGCGGTACAAGACGTTTCACATAACAAGAAGAATTTCTCACATATATAGACCGTTTTCCGCAGCTAGTTTGTTTATGCAAAACTAGATGGTGCCACCGCACCGAAGCACCACGGCCTTCTCCTGGGTGGCGCAGCTGCCATGCGGCGTGTGGCGGACGTTTCTCTGCAGCCTGTGGCAAGAAACGATGGTGGTTGTAATTCTTGAAGAAGGAAAAAAAAAAGCACCGAATTTCTGTTAGCCATACGGCGACACGGCGCAATGCCCAAGGGAGAAAAAAAAAATGAAAAGAGAAATGGGTGACGGACTATGCACTGCGCCCGCTTTGCTTGCCTTTAACCCAGGAGAGGCGATGGCGAATCGGCCGGCCGTCGGCGACGGTGAAGACGTGGAAATGAGAAGGCCATCATATCACGTGTTCAAACGTGTCAGTGCTCTTTCGCTGCTGCGGGAAACCGTGTTTAAGTACTGCAACCTGGTTAGTTTCAGTTTGCGTCCCATAATAAGTACAGCTTGCTAATCATTTGACAGCATGGACAGTAATGCATTGATAGTGTCATTCGCGGGCCTAATGCAACCTTATTCTTGCTGATTAGCGACAAACATGGCCAAACTTAGTGGATATATAGTGCATTTAATTCATTTTTGCACGCAGTCTCACGATTAGTTTTCAGAAAGGTACATCCGCTATGGTGATCTGCTGTGCCATAGCACGCATTGTGTTGAAGTTCTCAGGTGCTCTTGGGAAAAAGACAGGCAACAAATGCTGAAGTCTCTTTCCATATTAAGCCCCTGAAAAAAAAAATGCCACGGAAAAAGTACATTCCATGCGATGCACCAGAGAAACGGGGAACAGGAATGGCACAACATTTGTGCTCCCTTCTTACTAAACAAGAGATGGAGCCAGATTACACGAGACAGTCGTTAACACATTTCTCAGTCACAGGGCGATCACAGGAGTCTAGTTCACAGGTACGCACAACATAGTACACTCATTGAAGTTGCCTTTTATGGAAACTGCACCAGTCGCAACGTAGCCCACACTCATGGAACCTCTTTCTCATAAAGGGGGTACTTTTCTGCCAGTCACTGGATGTACCGCTGTCTTTAGCAGCAGTCTTCATTGTGCGTCGACTCGTTGCGAACTTCGCAAAACGGTGGGTAGGAAAATTTCCACACCATTATTTTATTTGCCAGTTCTGTCGACCTTGGTGGTATTAACGCTGACACCATTCTTCAAAGTCCAGTACGTAGGGAATGTTAGAGCAGGCAAGCACACAGTGGGCAGCATTCGTCACAGTGCGTTGTGTTTGTTACACTCTCACACAAAGAGTGGAGGCAGCAAAGGCGCGTACGAAGCCTGCAGAAACACACCGGGATTCGCTAAATCGCGCACAAGTGCCGTTTTCGAGTCACCACGGCTCCCCTGGAATGCTTTGAACCACTTAACACCGTCTGTTTACCGGCAGTTTCTACGGCGCCACGTTCAGATCTTCCCGACGTTCGAGTGCTGTGTTCACGTGAGAGTATACGTGGCACATCTGGAATGGGCTACGTGTTTCCTAGGGCCTTCGCCGCATCCATGGCGGCGTTGTTGGCAGCGCAGGTTGACCAGCGTGGAGCGCCGCCCTTGGCGTTGTGTCAGTACAGCTGCGTGGTGGACACCGCCGTGCAAGACGATGACGTGGGCGCCGGCTCGTAGGCGCAGCAGGCATTGCTCCTCGCCACCATGCTGGTGCTGGCGGCCGAGGAGTTGGACCGGTGTCGTGAGCTGAACGAGTAGCTACTCTTCAGCCGCTGACGCACGGAGGAATGGCTGCGAGAGAGAGAAGAGTTACCGTTTTGGATCAGTTATGTTCAACATATGTTCTGCCGTGTATCAAAGACCAAGAAAGCCAGAACACACAAGAAAAAGTTATTCACGTTGCTAACACTGTATAGATGCCAACGAGAGGTTTGCGAGGGATTACGGATACGCTGTATTGGCAAGTAGTTGAAACTGGACATGGCTATGTATACACAGCCTAAGGAATACTTTCGAAAAAAGCAGAAACCTTTACAGCCAGTTCAGTAATGCGCCGATTATGGTTACTAGAAGAAATACCATCAATTAATTCGTAATCAAAAATTAGTATGGGAAATAAAAAAGATTGCGAAAGTTACCTATTTGTGACTTGACGTGCGTGATTGCACAATGCTCGGTTACATACTCGCCCGTTTCTACGACAACAAATTGTAGATGGCGAACTGATGTTTGTAAATACTACGTTACTGAAACTGTGGTAGAGTTACAGTAGAGTCTTCAGTACGCGAAATCACTCTCTCCATCTATCAACTGAGCATACAATAACGCTTTCGAGCATCCATAGACATGTTGGGATGTGTGAAAACATGCTTCGTTCACAAGCTTTTGAATGAAGCGAAACTGATTAAGCGCGAGGATTGACGAGCTTTTATTCCTAAACTGCATTAAACCGATAATGAACGAAAAGTTTAGACGAACATAAGCAATGATAGCAGCTTACATTCGTTACGAGAGCTGAAGACATTAAATCAACATCTTGCTTATAAATTGTCTGATGGAGGGTGATGCGGGGACTACTCTTCTGCAGAGTTATTTCGTATCAGGCCTTCACACAATGATTCATGAAATATGCAGGCATGCTGCGTATCTGCACGCGCTACTATATTTCACGCGTGCTTTTGTAAGAGCTGTGCTCAGAAGAGCGACGATGAAAAATTTCACGTAACGGGCAGAGAGCTCCTAGCAGCACTGACACGATTACTGTGCCAATCGATCGTAATGTAGTTCGGCACTTACGTTATGAACAAGGGATACGAAAAATCATTTGTCGATGTTGAATTACAAGATAATGTACGATAGTCGTTTGCTTTCGTTGCGACAAGCAATCAACACGCCTCCTTTTCACCACACACTGGCGCACACATTGCTATCTTTTTTTTGTCCTGAGGGCACCCACATGAAATTCTGATCAAAGGAGATTTTTTCAGGTTATCAGGTTAAGGCATCTTAAGTATGAGCAAGCTATGCGACACCCTTCATTCTTGCTTTGTGCATTTGTCTTGAATATAATGCCCTTTTTAGAAAGTGTTCATTAATAAGCACTACGACGGAAGCTTCTACGACAGATAGCGTGGTGTTCCGTTGCTGGACAAAAGACTACCGCGATAGGTAAGTCAACGCAATAAAAAAAAGTTGTTCCCCAAGTAATAGTCATCAATTCATCCCGCCAAAATATCACACGTTACAAATACTTTCTTGCTAAGAACGCTTATATATATATATATATATATATATATATATATATATATATATATATATATATATATATATATATATATATATATATATATATATATATATATATATATATATATTATTCAGATCTAACAGACAATAATGCTAAAGAAAGTATAGGGAAAGTTATTAGAGCGAATTGTAATGTAAATGTAATTGAATGTAACTGTGTCCTGCCCACGGCAAGTTATCTTTTACCCACTTTTCTTTCTTCAAATTATATTACAATTTGGTCTAATAACTACCCCTACACTTTCCTTGGCAATATTGTCTGTTAGATCTCATTAATGTTGTGTCAAACACGGAAAAACGAGCCCTTAAGTATACACCTCTCATATATATATATTGTGGGCATTTGTAACTTACATCGTCCTCATCCCTGCATAATCACAATCACCATCATCCGCTTGTCTCTTTGCCCTCATTGCCACGCTGGTTCATCATCATCGTCATCGTCTGTGTGCTGGCTCTGCCCGTTCGTTTTGCGAGGTCTTTCCTCAAATAAACGCTGTCGCAGCCAAGACTACCAAGACTTCATACGTGGTGGAGGTGGATTTTCGGTCCTCTGACCTCCCGCAGCCCGCTATACTCCCTGGAGCTTCGTTCAGGCCGCCGCTTGCTCCCACAGTCAGGCAGCATGTCCCAGACCGAGCCTGCCGGCACTGATGTCATCAACCACGCACCGCCGCAAGCTGCCCCTCCTACTTACATACACGGACATCAGCGGGAACCCCCGCTCTTCGCTGGTAGTCGTGGAGAAGACGTAGAAGACTGGATCGACGACTACGACCGCGTAAGTGTCGCTAATCGGTGGGACGAGGCCGCCAAACTGCGTTACGTCCCATTTTATCTGACCGGAGTCGCAAAGACATGGTATTTTAACCACGTCATTGACTTACCCGACTGGGCTACCTTCCAGCAGCAGCTGCGGCACGTCTTTGGGACACCAGACATTCGATCCGCCGTCGCGAAGAGGACACTCGATACTCGCCGACAACATCGCGGTGAATCGTACACTTCATACATCGAGGATGTCCTCGCACTCTGCCGGCGTGTCAATAAATCCATGCCGGAATCGGACAAAGTGCGCCACATATTGAAAGGCATTGGGCCTGTTGCCTTTAATGCCCTCGCTGTGCAAAACCCAGCTACCATCGCTGATGTCGTTGCGACATGCCAGCGCCTTGATGCGCTGGACTCCGTCCGCCTTCAACCAGACATCGGCGACCACCACTCCACGTCAGATGGCCATCTGCGTGACCTCATCCGGGACATTATACGCGAAGAATTGCGGTCCATGGGCTTCACACCTCCTACACCGCGACCTACTCAGCCTTCGGGAATGCCCTTACGTGACATCATCAGGGAGGAACTTACATCCCTGACTGGCTCTGCACCCGTACAGCCACCTGCTTCTCACCCTTTAGCCACGTACCCTCAAGTTGCTGCCGTGCCTCCCAGCGACGCCCACGCGACATTGCCACGTCCATCCTACGCGTCAGTTGCTGCCGCTACCCCTGTGAACTACCATTCCGTGCCCCCTGACCCTTCGGCCCACCTGACCGCGCTATCTCCAAGTGCCCCGAATGCCTTCTATTCTCCACCGTGGCGCTCGTCTCGCCCTGTATGCTTCTACTGTGGCTATCGCGGCCACATATCCCGTTTCTGCCGGAAGCGCCAGCAAGATGAGCGTCGGAACGATGTGCGTGAACGGGATTTGTACAACGGGGCGTCTTATCAAGGTCGGCGTTATTCGTCTCCCCCGCACCGGTCTCCATCTCCTCCTGCATCGACTGCACCACGAAACAGCCGAAACACGAGACGCCGCTCGCCTTCGCCCTTCCGCCGTTCCACTTCTCCACTTCGGCCCGCCTCATTCGCCTCTGATATTCGTTCGGAAAACTAAGTGATGCAGTTTGTGGAGGAAAAACTGCATTCGGAATTAGAACTGAAATTCCTCCATTAGGCCCGTGTAACATGGTTTCTGTGGAAGTGGAAGGAGTGCGAGTCGATGCTTTGGTGGACACAGGTGCGACATTGTCTGTGATACGTGCTGATTTGTGTGAACATTTAAGGAAAGTAATGACGCCTTATGATGGTCCCACGTTAGTTGCTGCCCAGGGGAACATCATTCGCCCTTCCGCGCTTTGTACTGTGCGTGTTTTCATCGACGGCATCCGCCATCATGTCCAGTTTGCTGTCCTGTCCCGCTGCTCTCACCAACTAATTTTAGGGTGGGATTTTCTATCATCTGCTTCCGCGGCGATTTGTTGTGGACAACGCGTCGTTCACCTCGCTGACACCGACTACATGCTTGACGACGATAATCAGAAGCCACTTCGTCTGGTCGCTGCGAAAGACATCGAACTCCCGCCACTACAAGAGCAAATTGCCACCATTACGTCCAACGGCATCTATCACGGGGATGTATTGGTCTCACCGTCACCACTTTGCGTTCGCAAAGGTATAGTTCTTCCGTCCGGTGTCGTTCGTTTTTGCAATGGCTCGGCACTTGTCACCGCTGTCAACTCTACACCGGAGAAGATCTTACTGCCACAGGGCACTACTGTGGCCCGTGTTGCTGACTTCGAGCCTGTACTCGTCACGCCACTTCAGCCCATCGCATCTAAAGAACCTTGCCTCGGTGAGCATGTTTCTTCCTCCGCCTTTACCACCACTATCAGCAGCGAATTGACATATTCACAGAGGCAGCAGTTGCTCGCATTGTTACAGAAACATGCAAATTCTTTCGATATTTGCTCGTCTAAGCTGGGCCGCACTAATACTACAGCACATCGAATTCAAACTGTTGGGACATCTATTGTACACCGCCGACCCTACCGCGTGTCTCTAACTGAAAGAAAAATTATAGAAGAAAACGTTGCGGACATGCTTAAACGGGAAGTCATCCGTCCCTCATCTAGCCCTTGGTCATCTCCTATTGTTTTGGTCCATAAAAAGGATGGCTCTGTGCGGTTTTGCGTGGACTACCGGGCGCTCAATAAGATCACACGCAAGGACCTGTACCCTATGCCACGCATTGACGACGCCCTTGATTCCCTTCAAGGCGCGGAATTCTTTTCAAGCATCGACTTGCGTTCTGGGTACTGGCAGATCCCCATGCATGAAGACGATAAAGAGAAAACGGCATTCGCAACCCCCGACGGGCTATATGAATTCAACGTGATGCCTTTCGGGCTCTGCAACGCACCCGCGACTTTTGAGCGCATGATAGATACCGTGCTGCGTGGCCTGAAATGGAAAAGTTGCCTTTGCTACCTGGACGACATTATTATCTTTTCGTCAACGTTTCCTGAGCACCTAGAACGATTGGATCAAGTTTTGACATGCCTTGCCGGCGCCGGGCTTCAAATAAACACGAAGAAATGCTCTTTCGCTAGCAAATCTATCAAGGTCTTAGGACACGTCGTTAGCAAAGATGGCATCCGGCCCGACCCTGACAAGATTTCTGCAGTCCTTCACTTTCCGCGCCCCGAAAAACCAAAGGAGCTTCGCAGTTTTCTTGGCCTTGCCTCCTATTTTCGCCGGTTTATCCAGAACTTCGCTTCTATTGCTGCTCCATTACACCAACTACTTGCTTCCAACGTCCCCTTTCTGTGGTCTCAAGAATGCCAAACAGCATTCGACCTGTTGAAGCGGGCACTCACGTCTGAACCTCTGCTCTGCCACTTTGACGAAGCCGCACCAACTATCCTCCATACCGACGCTAGCGGCCTTGGTATAGGAGCCGTACTTCTACAACGCGACAAGTCTTCCCTAGAGAAAGTTATTGCATATGCCAGTCGCGTACTCACCGCTGCTGAAAAGAACTACACTATAACTGAGCAAGAGTGTTTGGCTGTGGTTTGGTCGGTTCAGAAGTTCCGTCCCTATCTCCACGGGCGTCACTTCACAATCGTTACGGACCACCATGCCTTATGCTGGCTTTCTACACTGAAGAATTTGTCCGGACGCTTGGGTCGGTGGATACTACGCTTGCAGGAGTACGACTTTGATATAACTTACAAGTCAGGCAGAAAACATCAAGACGCCGATGCTTTATCTCGTTGCCCGCTTCCAACTACCCATATGAGCGTTGGTGAGAACTCAACCACCACATCTACCAAAGTTCATACGCTCGCATCAATAACGCAACCCTTTTCGGATGACGAGCCAACATTTATCTCCCGCCAGCGGTCCGATTCATACTGCAGACGCATCATGGACCACCTTTCGGGAGTTTCTCATCCACCAAACGCGCGACTCCGTCGTCAACTCCTGCACTTTAGGCTGGACAATGGGGTTCTCCACCGCCACGTCTACCACCCTGACGGTCAGCGCTGGGTTCCTGTACTGCCACGCTCTCTCCGACTTCAGGTGCTCGAAGCCTTCCACGACGACTTGACTGCTGGTCATCTTGGTTTTAAAAAAACTCTTGACCGCATTCGATGTCGTTATTACTGGCCTGGCCTTTCTTCTAGTGTAGCTCGGTACGTCGGTTCCTGCTACCCATGCCAGCGTCGTAAACTCCCCACGTCGGCACCTGCTGGACCTCTACAGCCACTTCCGTGCCCTTCAATGCCGTTCGAGGTTGTAGGTGTTGACCTTTACGGGCCTCTCCCCGTCACATCTGCTGGCAAACGATGGATAGTGACTGCCGTGGACCACCTGACACGCTACGCTGAGACTTCCTCTGTTATTACAGGCTCAGCTGTGGAAGTTGCAGACTTTATTCTTCACGCAATAATATTGCGTCATGGGGCTCCTCGTGTACTGCTTAGTGACCGCGGCAAAGTGTTCCTGTCACAAGTTGTAAATGAAGTACTGCGCGCATCTGGAACTACTCACAAGACAGCTTCAAGCTACCACCCTCAGACAAATGGTCTCACAGAAAGATTTCACCGAACCCTTGCAGACATGATAGCCGTTTACGTCCAACCCGACCACAAAAACTGGGACACTCTTTTACCATTCCTGACATTCGCTTACAACACCGCCGTTCAGCGAACAACTTGCTACTCACCGTTTTACCTCGTGTACGGACGCACCCCGACTACCTTTCTCGACGTCTCCTTCTTTAGCAGCCATGGGAATTCATGTCAGTCTTCTAGCGAAGAATACATTTCCCGCCTGGCCCATCTCGCCATCAGGCTCTCATCAATACTGAAGCGAGACAGCACGAGCGGAAGATCATCTATGACGAATCCCACCGCGTTGTGTCTTTCCAACCTGGTGACGAGGTGCTGCTTTTGACACCTATTCGCACTCCTGGTCTCTGTGACAAATTCCAACCACGCTTCATCGGGCCATACATTGTTTTAGAACAGACTTCGCCGATTAATTATCGTGTGACACCACTCGTCGCCCCAACAGACCGCCGCTACCGCAGCACAGAGATTGTACACGTTTGTCGCATGAAACCTTTCACGCGACGTTCCCCATCACTTTGACTTACGGCGGCCAGGGTGTCCGCTTTCAAGTGGGGGGGAATTAGTGTGGGCATTTGTAACTTACATCGTCCTCATCCCTGCATAATCACAATCACCATCATCCGCTTGTCTCTTTGCCCTCATTGCCACGCTGGTTCATCATCATCGTCATCGTCTGTGTGCTGGCTCTGCCCGTTCGTTTTGCGAGGTCTTTCCTCAAATAAACGCTGTCGCAGCCAAGACTACCAAGACTTCATAATATATATATATATATATATATATATATATATATATATATATATATATATATATATATATATATATATATATATATATATATATATATATATATATATTACTGTAATCAGGAAAGTATAATTACGTTGATAAGAAGTACCACCTAAATAATTGCAACGCTTCTCTTTACCTGCTTCACATAGGTTCGTTAAGGAAGTCTTTCATTACATTTCCCATTCGCTGCCACTGCTCCGACTCATTTGTTTCAATACGAAGAGATAAATAATGACTTGTCTCTGGTGATCTTGTCAGACTACATGGTTAAAATAAAGACTGAGTCAAGTTCCACTAGATACTGTTGGTTTAATGTGTTTATTATATCTGTCCTATATTCCAAGTTAGAAGAATAATTGTACGCTCCTTCTTAATTTTCATCTACAGAAAATATATATTGGTTAGTTTTTACTATAAGTTTCGTTAATTTCTTTAATCGTTTGTTTTTGTGCGAGTCAAGGAAACGTAAGCTGAGTAATTTTCATGATAAACGCACTATCAAAACGTCTCGCAACAGGTGAAAAAACAAACTCGGCGATGTATCTCGGGCGACAAATATTGGATGATAGCATACGCATCGCTAGAAAACTTACATCACCTCCATATCTTCTCTATTCACGCTCTGGAATGCTGCGGTCACGTGATAGCGTGTAGGGAAAGAGGAAAGAGAGAGAGAGAGATAGAAAAAGAGAAAATAGCAGCTGTTAGAGAACGCCCATTTCTCGCTATTGTGACGTTCGTAAAATAAAACCGCATTTTCTTGTGGGATGACTACTGACAAATTCATAATGAATGAGTTCATTCTTTCAAAGGTTTGCTTAGATCTGAACGCATTTTTGGCAGCCGCAATGAAATTTAACTTAAGTAAGATTATTTAAAAACCTGTGTTGATGTATTTCTCTTTTCTTCTTAAAAGTACTGTACAAAGCTTTATTGTATATATATCTAGAAGCCCATTTACATAAAACTTACCGCTTATCAGTTTTCTTGACGGCGCTTTACTGCACAATTTCCATTCTGACGGGGAATTACATAGATATATATTGTTTTTAAAGCGATGCAATTGGCGTTAAAACTGTTTTCACACATCTGCCTTTTATCGTTTCTGAGTATTAGCAAATTCATATCTGAAATGTTTAGACCAGATTGCACAATATGCGGAGAAGACTATGGGGACACACACACTGGCGATACGTGTGCCACACCTTAGTATTGTCTCGTTTTGGCACATGTACGCTAAACAGAAAAATTGTGCCAACGAAGCCAGAAGATAGCTCTATAGCAATTGCGGTACGTTGATTACAAGACCAATATAGGGCAGCGTCTCGTTCGTACCAAACAAAACAAAATACCGGAACTATACAAACTGGGAGAAATATATAGCAAACTACGTGAATAGCGTACTCTCGGTATATACGTATGTGTGCAAAGACGTCTAACACATCAGCACTACCGCAAGCCATCCGCATGTGGAATGATCTTCCCGACAATATCGCCTCAGATAGACATTCTAACACGTTTCGGCAAAAACTTGTGATGCATTTCTTTAACATAGCAAGGTGAGGTCGTTTTACTTGTTCAACTTTCGAGTTATTTTATGTTGTGAAACGTTGGCCTTTATTTTCATCAGCAAGTTTTTAACTCTTGTTTTGAGTGGTGCTGACTTGTTAAATTGTTAGCTTTTGTTACACCACATTATGTTGTTATTATTAACCTGTAATGTACAGTTGCTCCTCAGAAGTTCATCTCTGCATTGCATTCACTGCAACCCCCTTACTCAGTGCCTTCGGACCTGTAAGGTATTTTGCAATAAATAAATAAGCAAAGTATGAAGGTGAAAGGTGCTAAAATATACACGTTCGGCAGGAAAAGCAGAAGCGTTGCAAATGAAGTGCAGCATATCAATACCGCATGCAAATTCAATCTAACTAAATAAATACGAATGCCGAGAGAAAAACAAAAAAATCAGAACTGTTGTATCGTGTACGCGTCTAAACCGATATGTGATTATAAGCCACTCTTTTGTGGGATAATGCGGATTATTGTTGACCTCGTGGGGTTCCTTAGCCCATTGCACGACACAGGGATGTTCTCGTATTCCGTTTCTTTGGGAATGTAGCCATCACAGGCGAGATTCTAACGTGCGACCTCATGCTTTCTGACCTAATTCTGTATTCATCGAACCAATGTTAGTAAGATACGAAGCAATGCAATTACATGCAGTAAAACTGTGCTTGCCGAGTAGTTTGTCTCTGTTACAAAAGTGGCAGAACTGCAACGAACGTGGCGCCTGCATGAAATAAAAAAAAATGCTTGCAGCTGACATGCATTGGTTCGTATAACATAGTGCGGTGGCACAACCGTTACCGTGCTCGGCTGCCGACTCGGCGGTCGCAGGTTAAATCCAAGTCACGGCGGTCGCATTTCGATGCATGGGGGCGTAATGCTAGAGGACCTTGTGACGTCAGCGCCAGTAAAAAAAATACCAGGTGGTAACAATTTTCGGCGCCCCCTACTACAACATCCCTTTTAATCATGTTGTTTTGACACGCGAAATCCGAGATGAAATTATTATTAAGCAGCAGAGTAAGATAAGCAAGGCCACTGATGATAATGAAAGCAGTTTCTTTTGTAAAATTCAAAGAAAACACTGAGGGTATTTATTGCAGGACACCCATGGCAACCTCTGTGACTGCCCGGGGCCGCAGAACGAGCGCCCGACAGACTTATGGGGCGCCGTCACAAAAGGTGCTTTCCGATTGCTTTAGGGTATACGGGTGGGCCGAAGGATTGGTGGGGGGGGGGGGGGGGGGCAGGGAAGTATAGACAGTGGTGCAGTCTACGATAACGCAAAAAAAAAGTTGTCGGGATAAGTCATGGAGGCTAGTTTAACTTGCATAGAATTTGACGCATTGAATATAGATCGGTGACGCTGCGCGAGTATTTATTTGCGCATTGCTACACCTCGGAGCTGGCTTCCTATATAGCGTTTTAGTAGAGTTCTATTTCCCCATTTCACTCAATGCAATCTTTAAAAATTAAGCCGCGAATCAAAATTGAATGGACTCAGTACGTGGAGATGTTGCGCTAACAAAGCGGCGACTGCATTTGCGCGTCAGTGCCTTATCTCCGACTGAAAGACAGAAGCAAAACAAAGCTATTGTTGCGAACTAAGAAAACGTAGTATTGTTCGCCGCGTGTAAACCCGGTGGATGCAGACGCTATAGTAATGGGTGAATTCTACGGGCATCTCATTTCAAGCATACGGGGGCCGATGATAGCACGCAGTGTTAGATATAATCTGTTAGATATAATCGCCAGTTGTGTATTAACTTAGCAAGTCTGAAATTAAGAAGGCATGGGAAACCGGCGTCGGCTACGAGGGGCTGTGGTAGTTTGGGCGTTTAACTGAGATAGACCAACGTGGTAGAATAGGAGATGTCATAAAATGGCGTCACAGTTCGAGCTATAAGAAACGAGTGTGCCTCTTAGGTTACACGTCAGATCAATGCATCTGTGCAGAATCCACGCGTGTCATTTGCACACGTGAAATGGACTCGTGTAATTTGGTGGTGAGTGGTAAAAATACGATTGGAAAGTGGACATGGGCTATTGTTTTCAGTGATTGCCGTGTGTTACCGTACGTCTATTTTTTAGTGCGTCCATTCCTGTCCTATCTTTACGTCTAAATTCAATAAAAGTGTTTAATACATGCGTGCTTCAGTGCTCGAGATTATTTGAGACGTCAAAATCCCTACATTTCTATTAAGATGAGCAGTTAAGTCGCTGGCACAAAATCACAGCACACGTGACAACTGTCGCTTCCTCCAGACAAAAATTTTTTTAGACTCGCGCATTGATTTTGCGCCCGCTCAGTTTGGTGGAAGCGCGGTCAATGCTTTATCAAGGAGCGCAATAAAAGGCCTCATTATTTTCATTATCACTCGCGAAATGGCAAAAACTGACTTGCTCATCCGAATCTATAGATGTACCTTGCATGTGCCTTAGAAAGAAAAAAAAAAGTGCGCTTGCCTGTTTCACACGTAAATTCTTGTCCCTAGGCACACCTTGCACCAATGCGCATCAGTGGGCATTCACGCACAAAAGCTAACCAGATTTTTTAGGAATGCAAGGGGTGTCATTTGTGGTAACGAAAAAAATTTTTTAAACTGTCCTCACAGCGTTGCTCTACCTTGCATACTTGGCATAGCGACTCAAGAGTCATTGTGTATGTTATTATGAAAAATATAAAAGGACACTACCTGTAATTATTTGGTGACTGCTTAGGAGTTCTGTAGAGTACTCTCTTATGCCTCATGACGTGAAAGCTCCATTAATGAAATGCTAGTAGAAGAATATTTGCAGAAAAGGCCCAACACGTCACGCCTGTAGCAGAGCAACGTTATATCTACAGCCTACAGGGATAGAGAAAAATACAATCTGAACTGCTAGCGTTATTTCATTCATGGAAGAAACCAGTAGTCAACACAAAGAAGAAAAGATGTCTTCAGGCACCAGCGCTGCAGTCTGCTTTGTGCTGGATTAAAAAAACACAAAACAAAAAAAAAACACTGTGTCCTATGGTCTATTTCAGCTGTAGGGTCCTGGGGTAGGAAAATATATGCACACACGTATACTCAACTAAAAAAAAGCAGGAAAATAATAGAACGAAAGAAATAAAGCAAGAAAGAAACTAACGAAGAAACAAACAACGAAAGAAGGAAAAAAAATAAACGACCGACTAAAGTGACTGACAAGTTTGTTCGGCCCTGTAGGGCTAAGGTTACTTAGAATACAAGGTGTGCTGTAGAAGTCTTCGTTTCTGACAGATGACGGAAGAATTAAAACAAAGAAAAAGCAACAGACTGCAATTCAAAGTACTGCTCGACCTACCACATCAGGTACACGGTGACGGCGACGAATATCACGAAGGCAGAACCCACTGAGATCATGGCGTACATCCAGAAGCTGTATTCGTTGTCGTCTGAAAAGAGAAGAGAGGACAGACAAGTTCGTGAATATGGGGCGCACGTCTGTTGCGCGCTTTTTACAATACAAACCGGGGAAAGTGGCACTGCGGCTACCGATTTTTAGGGGCGAAGCTCCTCAGGGTCGAGCCATGTCCCCTGTCCGTCGGCGTGACCCACTATATATATTCATATGGATACCTATATGGATACCCACATTTATATGGATATTATATGGATATTCATATGGTTATTCATGTCCATATGAGTATCAATATTTATACGGATATGGATTTCTGTACACCTCGATACGATATGCGCATTGTGATCAATAAACAATTTTGTATATATTTTACTGTACTCGCGTGTTGCACGTCTTTGCATGAACGAGTGGGCAATGTACGGGGTTTAATGATCCCCGGAGGTTCACCCACTCGTCATCATTCATATCGTGGATATGCTGCGATTTTTTTTGAAGACGATAGTCTTTCTTGGGGACCTTGGACGCCAAAATTTTGGTCTGTCTGTCTTCCTGTCTGTACATTTGTCTATTTGCTCGCGGTAAAGATCCCCCTTATGGCACCAAAGTAACCAAGCGATGCCTCAAACGGCCAACCACATTCACAGCGCCCACCAATGTTGCTCAAGTTTCAGAGTTCATACTACGGCGATTGTCAATTTAAAAGCACTTATTGCGCATATCTTAGGCGCCATAACAACACGTTGATGTTTTGTATGTGTGCCTTTACACTATAGAAGGCACACACGAGTAATTATAAGGATCGAGGCGTTTATCACGATGCGCTGACAGTGCAACGCAATGCTCAAAAAGGCAGGTGTTTCCAACGCTTTGCTAAGACGACACGATGGTGGCAACTGCACGTTGCTTTGCGTTCAACTTCTTATCGCCTCCGAGATACGCGTGCATTTTTCTTCGTGGCCGCGCACGCCTTTTTTTCATTTTCGAAGATAACTGCCAGATGGCGCTCGTGTCTAACGTGCCTCGATGTGCTCTTTCGCCTTCGCTGCACGGATCGAGACTCTCTAACACAGCGCTTCCAGAATACAATTCACCCACTTTCTCGCTCAGAACATCAAATAAACGTTTTGTTCAATCTCTCCACACGCACGACTATAGTCTTTCGACGACATTTGCAGTAAAACGTACAGATACGGAGCCGATTTTTTTATCTCCCTCGTCTTCGTGAAAGAGAGAAACGGAAAATGAAAGAAAGGCATGTAATACCCGTGCCACACGGGCAGAGAAAGTGGCATTTATCTCCAAATGCCTTCAGACTGGAGGTCATTCGCGCGGTGCTACACAGATGAACGAAATGGCATTCGCCCAAATTCCATTCGTCACCTAATGGGATCGTCAGAACTCATTTGACGGAGAAATGCGTACACTCGACGGCACAGCTGATGAAGTAATTGTATAAAACAACATTTGATTCGACTGGAAGGAAATTTTTCGCGTATTTTATTTACAGCAATCAAACAACTGCTTAAGAACTTCTCTCCAGCCGGTAGATGCTGTAAAATAAATGCACAAGGCGCCATTTTATTTTTACGCTGTAGAACTGACTAGCTTTGGTTTAAGTTCCTACACGGTCAGTTGCAACATCGCGAAACAAAGTAATGGACGAAATCTGACGGCAGCGTAATATGTTTATTTATACTTTTAATTATTATCGGTGTGCACGCGTGTGCTGCCGAATGTGCTGTGTTTATCTCTCTTCCCTCTCTGCTCTCTATCATCTCCCCCATCCTCCTCACATGCGCAGGGTAGCAAACCGGCTGCCCGTAGCCTGGTTAACCTCCCTGCTGTTCTTTTCCTCCTATTTTCCTTCCTTAATTATTATCGGATGTGCATGAAGCTTGTAAACGCTTGTTTATATTTTTACTGCCACTCACCCAATGCTCACGAGGAAGGTGCTGCGATCGACATCATAAAGTCGAATGTCTTTGGCTTTGGACGTGTAGCAGCGCCGCCGAAAAAATGTCATTCGGGAACTGAATGCCTTCGCTACCGAATGTCATTTTCTCTGCCCATGTGGCACGGGTATTAGGCAAGTTTACCTCCGTTTGCTACCTTACTGAGGGTAGGAGAGTGGGCAGCAGCTGAATAAGAATAGAGAAGAAGGAAAGAGGGAAGAAGCACACCCACGAGAATTCCTCATGGAAGCAAAGGTGGTTGTCTTGAGAAAGCGTAGAAGTGCTCATAGAGGTCGCATATGAAATCAAGGTATAGGCACCATAATCTCAGCATGTTAATGCATAAGCAGTCCTTGGTAAGGTATCAAGGGAAAAAAAAACGTGTGTAAGTGTGACTCTGTGCCTCAGCAGAGCATGCAGTGTTACGATAAGCCCCGCCATAACATGTACCCCCCCCCCCCCCCCCCGTCCGGCCTCCCCTTTTCTTTGCCTCTAAGTTCTTGCATAGTGCTCTGAATCCAGTTTTCTGAACGAAGACGTGGGAGATAAATATAAATCACGCTACATATAACCACAATATGATTATGACGCACTCCTCAGTAAGGAACATTAACTAGTTTAGATCATCCGGAATTCTTCACGATAAATCTAAAATAACTTCTCGTATTCATTGCATTTCTTTCTCATCCAAATGGGACCGCAGTGGTCGAGAATCGAAGTCGCGCTTCCGCACCACTGCTGTCCCGTCGGTGCATCCTATAAGCTACGCTGTAGGAAAAATAAAAACAGTACTGCGAATACATATTTTCATGCGAGCGTTTTTATTTGCCACACAACAGCTTTATTTAAGAGAATAACAGCCCACTTTAGATATTATTGCACTTCCTTCGGGAAGTCGTTAAACGCACGTGAACCTATAAAGCGAGTGAATGTGTGGCGACCGAGGACTCACGGAAAATAGTCGTGTAACTTTTTTGTTTCTTTTTTTTTCACAACTCGGGTAAAAACAAGTGAAGAGACTGGATAAATGCACGCCTTTAAATTACAAATATATTTTGTAACAATCAAGTGCTTTGATTGCAACGCGAGTTTTTTTTGTCCTGCAAAAACCGAAGGAAACGAAAGAACTTACCAAGTGAACAAATAAAATGAACCAAATATAAAACGAACAAACATAAAAAATGTGGCGACTCAGCGCATGCGCGTGTATAAACCGGGAAGCTAAAAACACGAGGAAGAAAATACAAAGAACAAACATAGTTATGCGCCATTTTTCCGGTGAATTTCTCAAGCATCAACATCGACAAGCTGGCTTAGTTCGTTATCGTAATGACAGCAAGCGGCCCGCCGTCCGTTTGCCTTTCTGTTCGACTTTCTGTACAGTTTTGACTTTCGCGAGAATAACTAGCACCGTAAGCTTTTGTTCAGACAACAGAAGTCGAGGCATTACGCAAAATTTTTGCGGGGAAACATGAGCGATGAATCCTCACAAAAAGAAAAAAAAAAAAAACAAGCGACGGCCACTTGATAAGTTCGCAGCTTGGCGGCATTGATCGCGTCTGGACCAGTTCTTATACTAACTAGTTCCCTGCACTATAAAGACGGACAAAAAAAAAAGGTAACTTTCTATTGCATGTGCCGCATTCGCTAACGCATCAATCTTGTACCCCAGATCAAACTTGGTTTTCCGGAACCCAACTTCTTCGATGGGCTCATTAGAGCCTAGAGATGCATTCAGTCAAAGGCTACCCGTCTTCATGTTTTTTCTCTTTTCAAAATGTTTAAGACATCGGCATATTTCCACCAGAACGTTACTATAAGAAAGCCTGAGTCAGCGAAAACAGATGTGATGCATTTCAAAAGTCTGCACAATACACCATAGAAAATTACGACTGTTCTTCATGTATACATGTTTGAAAGCCTAATGAATCAAAACAAAATTTGCCACAGCATGTGCGGACGATGCGAGAATGCAAAATGAATATCTGGTTATGTCAGTGATACGACTAAGACTGAGCGGATCATTATTCCTCAGATGTGCATTTATAATTTGAGCAAACGAGGTGCAGAGAATGACGACGGATTGCTTTAATTAGTGCGGCGTTCTCTTAACTAAGCCGCACAATGCTCAACTTTTCTTCCATTTCGACCAAAATGCAAATGATGCCGTTGCCATTGGTAATGCAGCCTCAAAACTCCTGCTCAGCAGTGCTGGGACATAACATAATGTGCTGGTTTTGTTCGTCGTGCATTAACACGTACAAAAATATTCAGCAAAGGCGATCATACGTAAGCAGAGTTAATAGTTATTGTGGTTTACCATATGTCACTAAAGACGTACAAATATATTCTGCCAAGCCCATATCACGTCACTACGGTTGATTGCTTGATATGTGGAGTTTAACGTCCCAAAACTACCATATGATTATGAGAGACACCGTAGTGGAGGGCCCCAGAAATTTATAACAGCTGGGGTTCTTTAACGTGCAAACAAATGTGAGCGCACTGTAGCTATTGGAGTTAAACATACATCCCTAAACACGTACAAAAATACGCAAAGCCCATCACACGTCACCAGATTTATTAGCTATGTAGGTACGTCCCTAAACAAGTGCAATGATATCCTGCAAAGCCCATCATACGTCAGAATATTTAATAGTTATTTGTGTTTAACGTACCTAAGCACGTACAAATATTTTCAGCAAAGACCACCGTACGCCAGCAGATTCAATAGTTATCGATGATGACATTGCCTGCATGAGTAACAAAGAAGACGAATTACAGCTCATGATTACTGAATTGGACACGGTAAGCTGGAGAGCAGGTGTGAAAATTAATATCCACGAAATTAAAGTAATGTGCAACAGTCTCGTCAGAAAGCAGCATGCACTTGGCGATTGATGGAGATACTCTGAAAGTTGTAAAGAAGTATGCCTTCGTAGCACAGGTAACTGCGGAGTTGAACTATGAAACTCAAGTAACTAAAATAATAAGATTGGAGTGAATCACATTCGGCACGCATTTTCAAATCATGAATGGTAATCTGCCACTAACACCCAAGAAGAATTTATATAACAGCTGC